AATCCAACAAAATAATATATTTATCTTTGCCATACCAATTTTCATCTAACATTGTTTCATATTTTTTAAATTTATTTTTATTTTAAAAGAAAAATCATATCTATATCTATATATATAAAGAATTACCATTTACTAAAAATAATAGCAAAAATTTAGGAAACATTTAATGCATACTATTTTTGGAAATTTTTTTAAATGTATGCATTAATTGCTTCTATTTACATGTTTTCAAATAAGATCAAATAACATATGATCAAATAATTACTTCAATAAATTTATTAATATCTGCAGTATTTTCATTGATATTTATTATAATAAATTACAATATTGATTTTCGTGATTCATGTTGATAATATTTTGGTCAAGATAAATATTATTTTATTAATATTTGTAATACTTTCATTGATATTCATTATAATAAATTACATGATTGATTTCTGTGATCCATGTTGATAATATTTTGGTCAAGATAATATTACACCATATTTTAAGTTCCAACTATAATATTAGTTTTTTTTCACAAATATTCACTTTTTATCCAAAAATATTTATAGAAAATCGTAACAGGTTAGGTAGAATTTTTTTTTCCAAGTAATCACACAAAATTAAGATGGTGAATTAATCTTTGCCAATATATTTGTTTCTTAAGCTTTATTTTGTTAAATATAAAAAATAAATTGTTCTTCAAATTAATAGTATAATTTACCATTTAAGAGATAATAACCAGATATAATAAATAGTTTTACTAACGGTAAAAAATTAAAATTGAAACAAATTAACTATTGTTTAAAATTTATTTGTATATTATTGGCATCCATGATTATATTTTTTTTTATTTTTTTTATTTATTTCTATAATTAAATACTTGTAAAATATATTTTCATTGATGAGTATGCTAAATAAACCATAAATCCTTATAATGCAAATTATAAAAATCTTGATCATAGAGGGGATCGAGTTTTTGGTATTTTCTGACTCAAAGTTGTTTAATTAGCATACAAAATTAAATACAAAAAACATGTGTATATTTTTTAAAATATTTATACACTATTTATTATTAAATTTATTTACATATTTTAAATTGATTACATAATATAAATAATACCAACGTGCATTAAATATTTTTCTTTATAATAAAAATATAAATAAGACGTACAACTTCTATAACTTTATAAATAATAATGACATTATATGACATAAAGTGTATAATAAAATAATAATTAAGTATTATATGATGAACAAGAATATTGTTATTCTCTCTTATATCAAGGAATATATATATATATATACTAAAATCAAATTTAAATTAGGATAAATGTGTTAGTGAAATAATATATTAATTATTTTAATATTTTGACTAAAGAAATAACGTTGATTAAAAGAGGTGCAAAATATATTATAACCATATTGTTTATTATATTAAAAGAGATGAAAAATAGATGATAATCCTATTGCTTTATATACTTAAACGGACAAAGTATGTGAAAATAACTCATTTAATATCTGTCCCGTGCATCGCACGGAGTACATACTAGTGAATTCTTCAACAAAAATAGATATATGCATACAATAACCAAAATGCATTTTCTATTTCAAAATCAATAAAAAAAAACGAAAAAATTAAATAAAACGAAAGTGGCGATTTTTATTTATGTATGTATGAATGATCAAGGGTGGGTCGTTTTTGGAAGAAGAGATAATGGATTCTCAGAGCTCGCATTCATATCTTTTTTTTTCACTACAAACTGTTTGTGTTTACCATTTGAAACAGGACCATTCATGCCAACAGTTGTTTGCATAATGTGAGAATTCACTTAATTCACACAAATCCAGTTTTTTGCAGTATTTACATTAACTGAAACATCAATGCCATTCGAATTACATTTCAAGAACTACCCCTTTTTTTCTTTCCATCAAACTTCTTCATCTGGCAGCCACTATTTCCGAGGAACAAACGGTAGATGCTCGTTCTTCCTCATCAGGTGCAAAAGTGAATTCGCTTTCCTCTGTGCTCTTGTTGTACCTGTCTTCGTAATCTCCACTAAATGGTCATAAACACCATACTGCAGTGCCGCCAGCATACAAGAAGAGTTATTCGACCCCAACTCTAGAATAACTGCCGTGGCACACTCTTTGTTTTTCGGAGTCCCTTCCCTCACTATCCTCACCAGAGTCTGCACAATCGAAAGCCGCCCGATTTCATTCCTCCCATCGGGATGCGAAGCGATAAGCAACAAAATCGAGAGAGCTTCATCGACCATATCCAGCGTCTTGTTCTCGAGCAAATGAAGCAACGGAGGTATTATCCCTGTCTTGATTGCTCTCGACCGATTCGTTTGGTTGAGCACTAAACTGAAAAGTGCAGTGGCCGCATCTTTTTTCCCTCTATCCGTCCCAGTTTGGAGTAGCCTGACAAGTGGCGGAATCCCATTGGAACAGCCGACCAAGACCTTGTTCTCGTCGACAACCGAGAGACTGAAAATGGCGGCGGCCGAATTCTCCTTAGCCTCTTGCGTCCCTTTTCTCAGGACTTGGATAATGGCAGGAATAGCTCCTTCTCTTGCTATGAGCTTCTTATTGGCCTCGTCGAGCGAGAGGTTTAGAAGAGCCGTGACAATGTGCTGCTGTGTTTCGGGATCTGAATACGAGAGGAGAGAGACTAAAGGAGGGAGTCCTCCGGCACTGGCGATGAGGGTTCGACTGTCGGGAAATTCTTTGGAGAGCACGCGAATTCTTACAATGACTTCCTTTTTCATTTCGGTGTCGGAAGTGTATAAGTTTTGGATAAGGCAAGATATTTCGTCAGCGAGCGGTGACGAGGCTATGTGGGGGTCGTCGTAAATTTCTTTCTTGGGGAGCTCGTAATTGTTCTTTTCGCACCATTGCTGGATAAGGTTGCGGAGGGCGAAATTCGGAGCCACCGTCAGGTAATTCAGTTTCTGCCCAGTTTTCGGGCAAGTCCTGTGCCCGGAGTTGAGCCACTTCTGGATGCTCTCCCGTTCGTAAGTCTGGATTAACAAAACAATAAAAAAAGAAAAAATGTGATATATCTTTGCTGGTCTAGTAAAAGAATCGTAAGTTACCTTACCTGCCCGGTGGAAATAATGACGGGATCGGACATGATCTCCAAGCTGATCGGGCAGAGGAACTCGTGAGGGATCAACAGAGAACGGCTCTTCTCCAAGCACTTGATGAGAGCCGGCTTGTCGAGCATGCTTTCATCATCGATCCCAGCTACAAGTTTGAATTTTTGGAGGAGGTCCATAACACGTTGAACGGCGCATTTGCCCTTGGCCTTGACGAGTTTTCTGACAGCTGTCGTTTCAGCTTTGAGATCGGCCGGTGTGTATAGATCGAGTTTCTTGGCGAGGCGCTCGATTATGGCATCATCGGCGCCACGCTGGTCATTTCGAGAGAAAACGACCATCATGTCCATTGCCAGCTCCATGTCTTGTGTGTCCGTTCGCCTCTTGGCTCGGCTAAGCTGACTGTGCATTAGCTCCACCTGTCCACAGGATGATATGTCAGCAAGTGCCGTTTTTTGTTTCTTCTTTTTTAGTAGAAGTAAGATAAGAAGAAAAAATATTAATTACTTGCTCTTTAACTTCTTCAGATATGCCTAGCTCGTCGTAAGGCATTTTGGTCAGAGCCTCGTTTATCATATCGTAAACGCCGTGAAATCTGCTCATCACTGCCTCACTCTCCATGGCCTGAGAGACAGACAGAGAGGAAAAGAGTCTGCTCGAAAAACACTTAAAGAAAAGGGAAAAAGCCAATGAAAAAAATGTGATGATGAAATGAACTTTTTTCTTACCAGAAAAATTTTGCTGTCAGAGTTGCAGGACTTGAGAAGCTTCTTAGAAGCCAAAAGCGATTTGTTGAGATGAACAAGCTTGCTTAGATTGTCATCGGAAATGGCGGAAGGCTGGAGTTCTTTAATCTCTTCCAAAAGAGGGGTCAGAAGCTTCAATCTTCTTACCAAGTTGAGACACTCTTTCCGCTGAGTTTTCCGGAAGGCGGAGTAGGATCCGACTTTTTCGATAATCTCCGACATTTGATTCGCCGCCAATTGAACTCCATCTTCGCCGCCACACGGCACAAAGCTCGTGCTGCTTGGGTTCTTCTGCAAGTCCATTTGAGAGAGAGAGAGAGAGAGATAGTGAATGTGTGGTAGCAATCTCTCTGTATTTTCAGTTAGCAAGACAAGAAAAGATAAATACTATGAGCAAGACACAAAGCTTATTGGTAGGGACTAATAAATGATTTTGGGCTAACAGAATACTGTTATTTTAGTGAAAGGTGAGGAAACTGCAGAATTTCTGCCGTAATTTTGTGATAACAGACTCCTGACTTTGGAGTGTGCTTGCTTTACTTTTTTTTTTTTTTTTTTT